GAGGTTCCGGGACCCTTGCCTTTCAGGGGTTCTGCGTGACTTCAGGAAGCCTCCAACCTCCAATCAGCCTTTCCATTTGTTTTACGCTATTTCAGAGTCCCTGTGCAGATGGAAGAACATTTTCAGCTTTGAAGATAGGAGGGGGAGCAAGGCTGAAAGGACAGCAGGAGGAGGAGGGGAAGGTCAGGCAGGTAGACGACCTCACATCAGAAATAGGGCAGTGAGATGAAGCCTGGGTTGGTTCCCCTCTTTCCTTTACTCAGTGCACAAAGCTGGGGTCTTTGTCTTCAGCCAAAGCACACAAGGATCCCGTCCACTGGTTGGGCTTCTCATGGGATATAAAACGTTCTCAAACCCATTACCTCAAAGAACCCTAACACACTTCTATAAGGTAAGTAGGTCAGTGATTACCACCCTACAGGGCGATGAGGAAACTGACACATAGAAAAGGGAAATCAGAAGCAGGTATGTGGAGGCGCCAAGATTAAAGATCAGCTTTCTTTCTATTGTATCTCCTTAGGCCCTTCCTCTTGAGGTGAGTTTTCAAGGCCATGCTGCAGTTTTCTCTTTCTTATTTATAAATAACTTACTAAAGCCCGACTTAAAGGCAAGCAGGTGGGCAGCAGTGGGATGAGGCATAGTATAAAGTTGACAAGCATGCACTTGGAGTCACATCATCTGGATTTAAATCCTGACCTTTATGACTTCTTTATGTGTAAAATGGAGGACAGTAACAATACCTGCCTATAGAATTGTTGTAAATATTACATTATTTTTAAATTAATTTAATTTAATTTATTTATTTTTGAGACAGAGTCTCACTTTGTCACCCAGGCTGGAGAGCAGTGGCACAATCTTGACTGACTGCAACCTCTGCCTCCCGGGTTCAAGGTATTTTCCCTAGTAAGCAATTTTCATCCTGAGTAGCTGGGATTACAGGCACTCAGCACCATGCCCAGCTAATTTTCCCATGTTGGCCAGGCTGGTCTCAAACTGCTGACCTCAGGTGATCTGCCTGCCTTGGCCTCCCAAAGTGCTGGGATTACAGGTGTGAGCCACTGTGGCCAGCCTAAGATTACATTAGATCTACATGTAAAGTGCTCACATAGCATGAGCCACAATTGAAATGTTAAATCCAGCCAGTTGCTGTGGTAAACACCTCTAGACCCAGTAGGGAAGCCGAGGCAGGAGGACTGCTGGAGCCTGAAAGTTCGAGGCTATAGTGTGCCAATATCTGGTCTGTGAATAGCCACTCATTCCAATCCACCTTAGCTATTATGAAAATGAGAAGGTGCGAAGAGTGTGATTTCATGGGCATAGAGAAAGTTCTCCCATGTCCCAAATACTGGTTGAAGATTCAATTCAAGATGACTTACACCAGATTAAAAGGCAAACACGATGATATTCTGTCTAAAAAGAGGCCCAAAATTACATGCCATCGCCGCCTTTACTCTCCCATTGTGAACTCCTGGGGAGCTGTGGGATTGGCTGAGTGGATGCTGCCTGCCTATTATCAGAACTCTTTGCCCTGTGCCATCTCATTGGGAGCTAGGTAGCCTATGGGTGGGATGTCCTGGAGTCAGGTGCTAGCTTCAGTTAAATCAGAGGCCACCCACCTGTGGAAATTCATCCTATGGCTTTTCACGGAGCAGGGGCGTTTCCCTGCACCGGGTCTTGGTGGCTGATGAGAAAACCTTAGTTTTTGAGACAATGAGAAAAACTGGTTTGAAAGTCCTTTTATTTTTTTTTTCCTTAATTTTTAAAGTTTAAGGTTGGGCACTGTGGCTCACACCTGTAATCTCAGCACTTTTGGAGGCCAAGGCAGATGGATCATTGGAACTCAGGAATTCAAGACCAGCCTGGGCAACATAGTGAGACCTGCCCTCCATCTCTATTAAAAATACAAAGATTAGCCAGGTGTGGTGGTGCACGACTGTAGTCCTAGGCTTCTCAGGAGGCTAAGGTAGGAGGATGGCTTGAGCCCCGGGAGGCAGAGGTGTCAGTGAGCAGAGATCAAGCCACTGCACTCCAGCCTGGGTAACAGAGTGAGATATTGTCTCTCTCTTTTTTTGTTTGTTTATTTGTTTTGTTTTGTTCTTTTGAGGAAGAGTCTCATTCTATCTCCCAGGCTGGAGTGCAGTGGTGGGATGTCCACTCACTGCAACCTTTGCCTCCAGGGTTCAAGTGATTCTCCTGACTCAGCCTCTGGAGTAGCTGGGCTTACAGGTGTACACCACCACACCCGGCTAATTTTTTGTAATTTTGGTAGTGACGGGGTCTCACCATGCTGGCCAGGCTGGTTCTCAAACTCTTGACCTCGTGATCTGCTCACTTCTGCTTCCCAAAGTGCTGGGATTACAGGCATGAGCCACCGCGCGCCTGGCTGAGACCTTGTCTCAAAATAAAATAAAATAAAATATAAAAAATAAAATGAAAACTTTAAGTCATTCATCAATTTTGTGTATTTACTATTTCTTTTCCCATTCCATAAAGTCTGCAGTCATACAACAGAAAGGAAAATCAAGACAGCCACATATAAATAAAGGTGCAAAGTCGAGGCAAGAGTGGACCTTAAGGGGCAAGAGGAGTTCATCGCTGAGCTTCTCATATAGAGCTGGGCTTTCTGGAAGCCAGAGTGAAAAGAGAGACACAATCAGCTGCATAACAGTTATCAGAAAATAGGAAGCACACCGTTTTTTCTCATACTAAAGCAAGGGCTTTCCAAGCTTTGAATTCTAAAGTAATTTCTTTTGTTCTTTCTTTTTTCTTGCTCTCATGCTTAGGTTGGAGATGCAGTGGCACAATCAGGGCTCACTGCAAACTCTGCCTCCCAAGCTCAAGCCATCCTCTCCCTCAGCCTCCCAAATAGCTGGAACTACAGGCGTGCACCACTACGCCTGGCCAGTTGTTTGGCATGATTTGTAGAGACGGGATTTTGTCATGTTGAGTCTCGAACTCCAGAGCTCCAGCAATCTGCCCGCCTCGGCCTCCTATAGTTCTGGGATTTCAGGCATGAGCCACTGTGCCTGGACTAAAGTAATTTCTTACTTGAGATTTTATTTCAGGCTACTGTGTCATGAACTGGGCAGGACAGCCTGGTGGGTGAGAACACAGTGTTTTTTTATTTTTTTGTCTGCTGGTTTGGGTTTGGATTTTGTTTTAATATGAGCAATTTATTCTGTGCTTCACTTTCTTCATCTGTAACATGGAGATAACGGTGTCTACCTATTAGAGTTGTGAAGATTCAACTAGTTGAGTTGTAGAAATAAATGGTAGCTGTTAGTTTTTTTGTTTCTGTTTTTTTTTTGTTTTTGTTTTTGTTTTTTGTGACAGTCTTGCTCTGTTGCCCAAGCTGGAGTGCTGTGGTGCAACCTCAGCTCACTGCAACCTCTGCCTCCTGGGTTCAGGCAATTCTCCTGCCTCAGCCTCCTGAGTAGCTTTACAGGCTCCTGACACCACATCCCGCTAATTTTTGTATATTTAGTAGAGACAGGGTTTCACCAAGTTGGCCAGGCTGGTCTCTAAAACCTGACCTCAGCTGATCCACCTGTCCTGGCCTTTCAAAGTGCTGGGATTCCAGGTGTGAGCCACAGCACCCAGCCAGCTGTTAATAGAGAAATTCGACTGCCTACTACTTACCTGCACAGTTAGGTGCTGGGGAAATAGTGATGAACAAGACAAACAAGATCCTTATCTTCAAGTAGCTTTAACATTCTAGGGGAGGAAAAAGACAATAAAGGTTGAAAATAAATTTCAGAAAGTGCAATGGAAAAAACTTTATAACAAATGCAGGAATAGATTTCATTTGACTAGTTCTTCCAGTTGCCAGAAAAGTCAAGGCTAGAATGTTAAAATTCAACTCAGAGGAGGAAGATCTGTTAGGGCCTAAGGTAATGCAATCCTGGTTTGTGGAATTCTGCAGGCTAGTGTGGGTATTGTTTTTGTTTTTGTTTTTAATTTTGTTTGAAAAGTCACTTCTTCCTGCTGAGCTTTTGATTAGGAGCTGAAGTTGAATCAGTTTGAAATTGTATTCTGGACTGAGCACGGTGGCTCATGCCTGTAATCCCAGCACTTTTGGAGGCCGAAGTGGGGAATTGCTTGAGCCCAGGAGTTCCAGACCAGCCTGGACAAAATGGCAGAAACTTCATCTCTACAAAAAATACAAAAGTTACCTGGGCATGATGTTGTGTGCCTGTAGTCCCTGCTACTCAGGAGGCTGAGGTGGGAGGATCGATTGAGCCCAGGAGAGGGGGTTGCAGCGAACCAGGTGCCACTGCAATCCAGCCTGGGTGACAGAGCCAGACTCTGTCTAAAAAAAAAAAAAAAAAGAAAGAAAGAAAAGAAAAGTAGTATTCTGAATACAACTTCTAAAACACTATATTTACTTACATTATATTAAACTTGTTTTACCATGATCAAAATGGTATTCTATCAGGTAAGTAGAGTAAGCCATGTCTTGCCCAGGGTTAGAGAGCTTGGAAAAGATCCCTCCTAAATAAACCTGTAGGATCACCTTTGGCTTTCTTCCAGCTTTTTTTGGTCATCGCTTTACCTCCGCCCATTTCCCATCTGTCTAGCCCATCTTTCTCCGCTGGGCTTTTTTTTCTTTTTCTTTTTTTTTTTTTTTTTTTTGAGACGGAGTTTTGCTCTTGTTACCCAGGCTGGAGTGCAATGGCGCGATCTCGGCTCACCGCAACCTCCGCCTCCTGGGTTCAGGCAATTCTCCTGCCTCAGCCTCCTGAGTAGCTGGGACTACAGGCACGCGCCACCGTGCCCAGGTAATTTTTTGTATTTTTAGTAGGGACGGGGTTTCTCCATGTTGACCAGGATGGTCTCGATCTCTTGACCTCGTGATCCACCCGCCTCGGCCTCCCAAAGTGCTGGGATTTCAGGTGTGAGCCACCGCGTTTTTTGCTAGCCTCTGCCTAGCCGCGGGTATTAGTCTGGACTGCAGTCCCGCCCATCTCCTGGGGCGTGACCACCTGTCCAGTCCCCGCCCCCGTCCAACAGGGGAGACCCGCCTCCTTTCCCGGACACCCCCCGCTCAGCGCCCTAGCGTGCGCGCGCGTCCCCGCTTGTCGCCGGGCTCCGCGTCGAGAGCGCGCTCTGTGCGGCTGCGGCCGCCAGGTTGTTGTGGTTGTGAGAAGGCGGCGGCGGCGGCGGCGGCTGCGGAGTAGCTGCGGGATGAGACGCCCCAGCGGCTCAGGTGCTGCTCCGCGCCGGCTCTGGCAGGGAGCCTGGTGGGGTGGCGGAGGAGGAGGCCGTGCCGTGGCGGACCTCGCCGTGTCGCGCTGCCCGGTAAGAAGCCCACCCCGTCCCCTGTCTCCTCGGGAGGTGAAGAGGCTGGAGGAGGGGCCGGCCTCGGCCTTGGCCCGGGCTCACCCTCGGAGGAGGCAGTGGCCTGGAAGGGCTGGGGACCGCGTGCGGGGCCCGGGGAGGGGCGTCCCGGGCCATCGCCGCCGCCAGGGGGTGGCGCTGGGAGAGGGAGTGGAAATGGGAGCTCAGCGGCCAGCTCGGCCGGACCCTAGGTGCGGGGAAGGCGGGGTCTCGGGCTCTGGCTGCCCTCCCGGACCTGTCGGAGATGGGCCCGTGCGGCTCCAGGTGTGGGACGTGCCCCAGGAGCGCCCGGGGTTATTCCCACGGACTCCCGGGAGGTGAGTGTGTGCCCTTCACCCCCTGCCGGGTCTGTGGGGCTCCGTCGTTGCCAGAGACTGGAGGTCGGGGGTCACGGGAGCCCCGGGGCGCATGGCGCAGGCCTGGGCCTTGTGGAAAGGAGGAGTGACCGCCTGATGGTGCAGCAGGACCTCCTCCTGACCTGGTAGTACTTAGGTGGGAAGGATGCTGGGACAGTTTGCGCAGCTCAGGGAAACTGGTCGGACTGCTCCGCAATCGTTTACAGTGTTATTTCTCGGGGAGACATTTTGCTTGTTGTATGGCATTTCCGGACCCATAAGATTATATTGTCGGTAGTAGTTGGGACTGGAAAACTTAATGTCGAAATTAAGGGGCAGAGTTTATGGTCACATTAATAGACTCCCCTGGAGTTTGATAATCTCACTTGTGAGTTTTGCACATGGATTACTTTTAGGTATTGATATTCAAATTCAAATGTCCTTTCCATACCCAGCCCTAAATTCTTACTGTTCTAGTATCTTGATATCCACTTTGTTTTCTGACATCTTTTTTTTTTTTTTGAGACGGAGTCTTGCTCTGTCACCCAGGCTGGAGTGCAGTGTGGCAAGATCTCGGCTCACTGCAACCTCCGCCTCCCTGGTTCAAGCGATTCTTCTGCCACAGCCTCCCAAGTACCTGGGACTACAGGTGAGCACTACCATGCCCGGCTAATTTTTGTATTTTTAGTAGAGATGGTTTCGAACTCCTGACCTCGTGATCCGCCTGCCTTGGCCTCCCAGTGTTGAGATTACAGGCGTGAGCCCCCCACACCCTGCCTGTGACATCTGTTTTTTCACAACCAAACCAAACCAAACCAAACCCCAAAACCATATACTTTCCTAGTTGAGGTTCAACTTTCTCATATGTGGATGATACCATGAGAGGCCTGGGTTGAATTATAGGAGATGATTTTTCTTTAATGTCAAATGTCCACGGAGAGGTGGTGGGGACCATACCCTTTAAGATTCAGGGCTGTTCAGTAGGACAGGAGACATTGATGGGATGCAGAAAGTTTTCCCTCTATAGGGCCTGTGACTTGGGTAGGCTAGAAGAGCTTACAGAATGATATATATATATATATTTTTTGAGACAGAGTCTTGCTCTGCTGCCCAGTCTGAAGTGCAGTAGTGTGATCTCTGATCACTGCAACCTCCGCCTCCCCGGTTCTAGCCCTCCCAAGCAGATGGGATTACAAGTGTGGGATACCACGGCCGGCTAATTTTTGTATTTTTAGTAGAGACCGGAGTTTCACCATGTTGGCCTTGAATTGGTCTGGAATTCCTGACCTCAAGTGATTTGCCTGCCTTGGCCTTCCAAAGTGTTGAAAGAACAGACATGAGCCCCCAGCCAGAATGAGGCTGTTTTGAGACCCAGTATAGTATGTGATATTAAACTAAATTTGGAGGATTCTAGAATTTTAGATTGGCTGCCTATGAAGACCTCTTTTGGCTCCAATTACTCCCTCATTTTCAAGTGACTCAGAGAACTTCAAGTGACCAGCACAGTGGTACAGCCCTGCTTGTAGTTAATGGCCAGCCATAAAAGAACCCAACTTTTTCAGCTCGCAGCCCAGGTTCTTCAGTGGTTGTCTAGTTTAAGGCTGATCATTAGAAATAGTATGGACTACCGAAATTCCTCGAACTTATGCAGGACCTATTAAGATCTCTGAGGATAGGGCCTGGGAATACATCCTTACAAAGCTACCTTGAATGATTCTGGTCAGCAAGGCATGTGAACTTTTGCTTTAGATTGGTGGGTATTCCAAAGAAGTCCCATTAATTATGACTTCTCAGGGTGCTTTTGTTTATAGATCTTTAAGGATTTAAGAGGTGGGGAAGAAGGGGACGCATGAGAAACTTAAAGAGATGCAAATTGAGCAACTTTTTTTTTTTCTTTTTGAGACCGAGTTTCACTCTTGTTACCCAGGCTGGAGTGCAATGGCACGATCTCGGCTCACTGCAACCTCTGCCTCCTGGGCTCAAGCAGTTCTCCTGCCTCAGCCTCCCGAGTATCTGGGACTACAGGTGCACACCACCATGCCCAGCTAACTTTGGTATTTTTAGTAGAGACGGGGTTTCACCTTGTTGACCAGGATGGTCTCATCTCTTGAGCTTGTGATCCACCCGCCCTGGCCTCCGAAAGTGTTGGGAGGCGTGAGCCACTGTGCCCGGCCTTGAGCAACTCTTAAAATATTTATGTAGGGGAAACAGATTTGTTGCCAAAAGTTAATTTATGCACAAGAAACACACCTGATAAAATTCGATGCTGAATTATTGGAGATATACTGTATCCAGAGATATATTGAAGAATCCAGAGGAAATAAACAGAGAAGGAGAGGGAGCAAGTAAGCTCATAAAGGGGTCCGCTGAAGATGCTTCTCAACATCATGGTTGCTCCTACAGCATCTGACTCAGATTTCTAGTGGAGGGTAGGATGGGTTTGTTAGCAGTCATCTGAGACCAGGGTTGTGAACCAGGAAGGGTTATCATGGATTGTGAAAAGTTCTTGAAATTTGCCACAGGCCATGAGGAGTGGTAAAGTCAGCTTAAAGATCTGCTGTAGTTCTAGTTAACACGTTCACACCTTCTTTAGTAAAGTGGAATGCTGTGTTACCAAAGGAAGTATTCGTGTTTTAGGGGAGGTGTGTGAAGGTCGTCATAAGTTTGGAAGAGGTGGAAGAAAAGGTTGTTATAGTTGTGTAGAGCAGTGAAGGACTTTGTAAATATCCTGTCAAATCAGAGTAGTATTTTTAGAGAGTTGTACCCAGCTGTCCATTAGAAGAGCCAGAGGCCTTGTCTGTTTTGTTCCCTGAGGTCCCCAGTACCCAGTGCAGTTATCAGCATATTCTATGCCCTCAGATATTTTTTTAGTAAGTGAACCGTATTGATATGGAAAAAAGAACAGATATGATAGCAGTGTTAGTTATTAAAAGCTAATTGATGTTTTGCATTGGTTTAAACAGCAAGTTTTTGATCAAGTAGGGCTCTGGATAAGAAATTTTCTCATTTAAAAGAAACATGATTTTTTTCTCATTAAAAGAAACATGATTCTGTGTTGGGTTCTGCTTTTAGCTTGAGCATTGTAGACATTGTACAAAAGTGCTCCAGAAATTGAATGTATGTTGCAAGTATTATGTAGAAAGAATTAGGCTGTTGTAATTCACTTAGTGTTGAAACCAAATCGGGTTTTACATTGGGAACGTCATAATTTAGTGTGAAGCCACGAGACTTGAGAATGGTTTGGGGGAGTTTGTGTAATTTATATAGTTAGTTATTTCTTTCCACCCAATTCTGTAATTTTCTATGGTGAATATATACATAAATTAATCATCAGTGAAACATTGATTTATCATATAAGATATCAGATTCACATTGGATTGAACTAGGACTCCAGGTTATTTTAGAAGCTACCAAAATTACTAACGTCATTGCTCTTTTTTTGTTTTGAGTCAGAGTCTCGCTCTGTTTCCAGGCTGGAGTGCAGTGGCACAATCTCAGCTCACTGCAACCTCCACCTCCCAGGTTCAAGCAATTCTCTTGACTCAGCCTCCCAAGTAGCTGGGATTACAGGCGTGCACCACCATGCCCAGCTAACTTTTTGTGATTTTAGTAGAAATGGGGTTTCACCATGTTAGCCAGGGGTCTTGAGCTCTTGACTTTGTGATCCACTCACCTCAGCCTCCCAAAGTGCCGGGATTACAGGCATGACCCATTGCACATCGTGACATTGCTATTTTTAATCTTAATTTTATGACATCATCCATACATCATGCTTTCATCTGTACTTTTGTATCTAGAAACAATATACCTTTTAAGCTCACATTTGTATCAGATATTAGAAATGAAAATTGTAGCATGAAAGTGGGTAGAACAGTAAATCCCGGGTTCGAGCCTGGGTTGTATTCTTCATTAGCTGTGTTGTTTTTGGCAAGCCACATAACCCCTCTGAGCTCCAATTCCCTCATTAGTGAAAGGAAGACAAGCAACTTCTCTACTTTTCTAACAGAGTGCCAGGGAGGATCAAATGGAATAGTGTATATGAAAAGTATTCTAAAAATGTAAGGGGTTGGTATTAGAACTCTATTTTATGTCTTGGAAGAATTGGCTTGTGAAGCAGTGACCACTGGTACATGTTTTCAACAGTGTCACTGATAAGGCAACAGAAATTCTGCCTCTGTACTCTGCCTGGAGAAATCTTTCAGCACATGTATCCTCTTTGTAGGAATACTCACAATGTTTCAGGAACTTCAGAGGAACCTGGGATGTCTCACATTTATGCCAATATCTGTACTTGGAATAGACTTGGTAGATTCACCCATTTTCTTCTGTTGGAGCAGTGGTGGAAGGTGGTAGGTGCAAGGAGTTTAGCATGTTCTGTGTAAAGTTTTAAGGCTGTGTTTTTAAGTAGCAGGTGGCAGTGTGATAGGGTAATGAAATCAATGTTCTTACTTTAAAAAGTATTTTGAAAAACAGAATATATCGGTGCATTGCATAAAGTAAAAGTAAATATTGATTTGGGAAACTTGTTTCCTTGTAAAAGATATGTTTGTGTGTGTATACTTGGTTGCAGTGTAAAATGTATTTTTTCTTTATAAAAATTATTATTTTCATTTTTTGTAGAGACGGGTACTTTGCCCACGCTGGTTTTGAACTCCTGGGCTCAAGTAGTCCTCCTGCCTCGGCCTCCCAAAGTGCTGGGATTATAGACATGAGCCACTGTCTATAAGGTTGGCTGGCCTAAAAGGTTGTTTTTTCTGTTGGGTTGTGATAAAACTTTGTTGCAGTTGTTTAGGTACATAGTGCTTGTGCAGTGTGGGTAGAATGACTGACTATAAGACAGGTATGAAACAAATGAAAAAAAGAAGAAAACTGCCAAGATGGGTTTCCTTAAAGCTATTCTGTTAGTGGTGAGATACCTCATAGTTAGTTCTAAATTGTTGATTAAATGAAGAAGCACATAAGCTTATGCTATAATAATATTCTGAAGTATCCTTTTCCCTTAAGGTTGAGTATGGAGTGCTTGGTAACCACAGAGATATTGTTTTGATGCTGATAACTCATATTCAGAATGATTCTGTTATGACAGTTGGTAGCAAGCTTTTCTGATTTCACCTATCTGGGTTCTTCGGTAGTTAATACTTTTGTAACTTAGTTGCAGAAAAGGAATAGAAACTTGTTTTGTTTTCAGAATTATTCATAGATTTATAATCTGGAAAAGCGTAAGGAAATTATAAGTATATTGATAAATCATGACGTAACTGGCAAGAATTGGTATAAAGACAAGGTGGTTAACTTGAAATAGGGTTGTTATTTATTCGATGCCTATCATTTTTACATGAGATAAACCAAATATGTAATTAAGTATTTAGATTTATTCTACAAATGACACGAGAAGACACTGTTTATAACAAGTTTTAGAAGGGATATAAAACAATAATTTAAAATTTTAACTTAATCTCATTTTTTAAATTTCAAAATGAAACTCTATCTGATTATGAAAGCTATAGAACTTTTTCTCTTTTTTTTTGAAACAGAGTCTTGCTCCGTAGCCCAGGCTGGAGTGCAGTGGCATGATCTTGGCTCCCTGCAGCCTCTGCCTTCCAAGTTCGCCTCCTAAGTACTTGGGACTACAGGCGCGAGCCACCATGC